TCTGGCCTGTGACAAACTATTCTTCCAACAAAACTAAAAACACCAACAAGCTCAACAATTTAGAAAATTGGGATCATTGCTGTGCGACTGCGCCGCGCTCACTCCCATTCTTCATCGTCAGCAGCCGTCTGTGCTGCCAGCTGACTCGTTACACTGCTGTCCTGGAAAAAGCCTCCCTGTGGACCCTGAAGAAGGACCACAATGTGAAACACTACAACATCTCAGAGAATTCAGTGTAAAACAACTTGAACCAGTTACCTTCCTCAAGTCTGTGGAGGCAAAATGCTTCCTGGGTGGGTTAAAGCCAGAGGGGCCATGGCCGCTGAACGCAGCCGTCTCTAACCACGAGGGAACCTCCTGCTGGGCCTGCCAATCCCAAACATCTCGCTTAAAGCACTCAGGTCTCACCTTACGCACTTGTGGTGATGCACATTGTGTAGTTGTAGTGCAGCGTTCTCACCTTGGACAGGATTGTGACCAGTGATCGAGCCAACTCGCTGTTAGCTTCTGGATCATAGAAGGACACTGCCCTCCCGGTGTTGCCACAGCGGCCGGTTCTACCGATACGATGGACGTACTCGTCGATATTGTTTGGTAGGTCAAAGTTCACCACGAGCTGCACATCTGGAATATCGAGTCCACGGGCACCTACAGAGGTCGCCACCAGGATAGGACATTTGCCAGAGCGGAAGTCTCCAAGCGCCTGCTCTCGCTGCCACTGCTCACGGTCACTGGCAGCCAGCACAGCACATAGAACAGAATAGATGTACAATGAGATCTAGAGCATCTCCAGACATGTGGGGGAAGAAAGGTGAGGTCCACAGTTTCTGCAGCACTAAATACATATGAACAGTTAGGGCTGGGCGATATGGCCTAAAATTCATATCACGATATAATTTGAAGGACGCAGGTTTCTGAAGATTACTGTGCTTCAGACCAGTGAGATCTTCCCAATAAGGCATCTTGTGCTAGTTTTGCTCTTAAATCTCTCGGTATGTGTAATGTTGATGCTGAAGACAAGGGCGAGCACACAACATCTTTTGTATTGTGTTTGCAGGTCTTGTTTTTCCTACACAAAACATGAGTGTGGAGCACGATCTTGAGGAACTGATGGAAGAGGAACAACCAATCAGAGAAATTGCTACATGAATCATTTCCATGGTGAAGAGAAACATGACAACAGTGAACCAAGTGAACAACACTCTCCAGCAGGCAGGCGTATCAATTATTAAAGTCTACCATAAAGAGAAGACTATATAAAGGTAAATACAGAGGGTTCGCTGCAGGCCA